GGCCGTCTATTCGCAAATTCTTCCCGTGCCACATGTCCGCATCCGCCACCAAGACTTAAAAATGCCTACAAGACTTGCAGTCTTGCAATCGTGGCAGTCCGAGTGGGATGTAGAGGTTAACAATAAGCTTCACACCATCAAGCCAGACCTTGGTACCTGGGAAACATCTTACAATAAAAATCGATTCAACGAGGTCCTCATATGCCGCCTGAGAATCGGCCACACCTACCTCACCCATAGCTACCTGCTTATTGGTGAAGAACCTCCATCCTGTGAGCGCTGCAATGAACCTCTGACTATTCTTCATATTTTATTTCTTTGTACTGGTCTTCGGCAGCAGCACAAATTCTTTTTTCCTGATATTTTCAAGTATCGCATTCCATTTCACCCTGCCTTGCTGCTTGGTGAGCGGCCACTGATCTCATTCAAACGTCTTTTTGATTTCTTCTAAAATACCGGCTTTTTAAACAAACTATAGAACTATTCCACTCCCCATAGTTTAATTCTACTCTCCCTTTTTTATTGACTTACCTTGTTTGGCGCAGTATGGCCATTGATGCTGCTGAAGTGTACAAAAAAGCAATTGAAAACGCCAAACTAGAATTCATGACTCATAGCCTACCCGCAATGTTGATCAACAATCCTAGACAATTCTGGAACACAATAAACAAAAAGACGCAGTCATCTATCACACTAAAAACCGCAAATGGTGATTGTATAGCCAGCGATGAGTGTTTAAATTTATTAAATAGTACTTTTGCAAATTCATTCTCTACTGATAACATGCACGATTTCCCTTCGCTAGAGAGTGCCGATTACTTGCCCATGGATCCTCTTTTTCTTGATTACGTTGGCGTCGGTCGTATCATAAATAAACTCAAACTGTCATCTTCAGCAGGAGTGGACGGCATTAATTCCAAGTTTTTACAAAACACTAAACAATACTCCTCAATTATTTTAACAAAATTATTTGAACAATCTATACAAGACGCTGTTCTCCCATCAGACTGGAAGGTAGGGAAGGTGGTACCCATTCACAAGGCTGGAGATAAACATTCCCCTCTTAATTATCGTCCGATCTCAATAACCAGCATTCCTTGCAAACTTCTTGAACATATAATTTTTTCTCACCTCGTCAACTTCTTAGAATCTAACAACTTCTTCAACAATGCCCAACACGGTTTTCGAAAAACATTTTCATGTGAGACCCAACTGCTATCTTTCACGAATGACCTACATCACATTCTGGACCGAGGATCCCAGGCGGACTGCATTTTCCTGGATTTCGCCAAAGCATTTGACAAAGTTTCTCACAATCTTCTGCTTCTAAAACTTTCCAAACTTAACATAGACAATAACGTTCTCGCATGGATACAGTCTTTTTTAACTCAACGGTCTCAATTTGTCACTGTGAATAACAATAACTCCTCTTTTGTCAAAGTTGCGTCAGGGGTTCCGCAAAGGACAGTCTTAGGGCCGTTGCTATTCTTAATTTACATTAACCACCTACCCACTAGTGTCTCTTCGTCCGTGTCTCTGTTCGCTGACGACTGTGTACTTTACCGTGAGATTCTCAATCATAATGACACCTGTATACTCCAATCAGACATTAATGCTATTTACCGTTGGTCTGACTCGTGGTCTATGAAGCTTAACACTAACAAATGCAAGGTCATGCGTGTGTCTCGCCAGTCTCAGGACTCTCCTAACTATTTCCTTAATAACGCTCATCTAGAACCGGTATCTTCGTACAAATATTTAGGCGTACATATAGCTTCTAACCTTTCATGGAAAACACATATTCAGCATATTTCAGCTAACGCTAACCGCATGTTAGGTTACATCAAGCGAAATTTTTCATTAGCCCCTGTCTCACTGAAATTAACTCTTTACAAAGTTTTAATTCGTCCCAAGTTAGAATATGCAGCTTCTGTCTGGGATCCCGGACTAGTCACTCTCGTATCTACATTGGAAGCCGTTCAGAACAGATCCGCTCGTTTCATCCTCACAAACTATCACCGCACCGCTAGCGTCACCTCTATGAGAACAACTCTCTCATTACCACCTTTATCCCTACGTCGTAAAATTTCTCGTCTTTCCCTATTCCATAAAATGTATCACCATAATTCTTTCCTGCGCGACAAATTAATTGCTCAGCCTGTCTATGTTTCCTCCCGTCTTGATCATCAACATAAGGTGGGCATTCCTAACTCTATCACAACCACGTTTTATTCATCTTTCGTTCCCCGCACATCCCAGGAGTGGAACCACCTTCCCCGGTCGATCGCCATTATCACGGACTCTGAGCTCTTTAAAAGTACAATAACTAATTACTTTATTACTGAGTGTGTCTAAATATGTATTATGTTATTTGCATTAACCTTCTTGTTGATCTCCCCCTCTGTAATGCCTTCGGGCCCTGAGGGTATAATAAATGAAATGAAATGAAATGATGCTCTTGCGCTATTAAAACCGCAAACAACAACACATACGGCGTGAGTGTCGTGTGCCGCGCTGTGCACTTTGCCGACGATTCGGCCACGAGGAAAGCCAGCGCGTCAGGACTTACGCGACCGTTACGGGGCCCGTGGAGAATGATGACGCGTCCGAGCACCTGATGGACGCGACCGAGTCCGAAGACGCTGCCGACGGAGCAGGGGGACCACCACTCCCAGAGGCACTGCCCCCGCACAGTGCCGAGGACAGGAACGGCATCCGGAGGGTCGTCGAGAACCGTCCTCTACCTCAAGCGCGGGCTGCGGGTGACGTGTCTGCAGCGGAAGACGTATCCATGACCCACAGCTAGATGCCTATGGCGACGCCCAACAAGGAGCCGGAGGACTGGAGCGGTGACGAGGCAAGATCCAGCGGCGCAGTCACCAAGCAGGCTCGCGAGGAAGGCGTTGTCAAAGGACTGAACACCAGCGCTGCTCTCCCCGAGGAGCCACCTCCAAAAGCGGCTTCGGTGCGACGAATGAGCTTCAAGCCCAAACCCACTGTTGTACGGAACGACGTTCCAAGAAACGGCGTTCCTGGAACGCGTTCCTTTTAGGAGGAACAAAGGAACGCCGCCGTTCCATTTTTCATTGGTGGAACTGGAACAGGAACTCGTTACATTTTTACTGGAACGGAAAAAGGAACGGCGTTCCTTTTTTTCGTCCAATGGGGTAATTTGTATTTTATTTTAAGAGGGAAATTCTAAAAGTATAAAAACAATATCTTTACAAAGAGCAGGGTCTCGGTGAATTTTTGGTTACTTAGGGTTTATTTTGTGTAGCCCTTCCTTGGTAACAGTCGGGTGCAGGAGAGCTAATGGACATTTAACATTTTTGGAGTGCCCGATAGTGCGGTACGAAACGCAAAACGTTTTGTCGAAAGAAAAGACACAGAAAGAGGGACGTTTAAAGCTTAGCTAATTTCTTTTCTTCCACGAATACTCATACACCCAGAAATCTAAGGCCGACTACAGCCATAACTGAGCTTCCACAAACAGACCTACAGTTACAACAAAAGGACAGGTTACCTGACATCGAACTCACTCTTGTATCCCGAATATCGGTTACATATACAAAAAATTAATCTTTACTTCTCCTCTTGTCCCAAACCTTCAAACAGAACAACGAATCTACACTTCACGGAGACGGACTTAACGAAAATAATCCCTGGAGAAGGGGAGCAAGAGGGACAAAGCCCAAACACAAATCTCCAAACATAGCTAGGTGACTGATGAGCGACCGAAAAAATCGGCCTGGTCCGGGTATTGAACTCGGGTCCTCTCCATTACAGGTGGAGCGCTCTACCGACTGAGCTAACCAGGGGTTAGACGGCAGTAGAGCAAACGGGTTTTATCAGCTGCCACCAGTCTAACACCAGCAAGGGTGAAGCTTGCAATTTTATGGTTATGATTATAATGCAATTAAATTAAAAGGTGCAAGCGAGCTGGACAAGAATGACGAAAAAAATCACTGGAGAAGGGGAACAAGAGGGGCAAAGGGGACCAGGCGGATTTTTTCGGTCGCTCACCAGTCACCTAGCCGTGTTTGGAGATTTGTGTTTGTCCTTTTTCACCCTTGTTCCCCTTCTCCAGGAATTATTTTCGTCATTGTTGTCCACCTCGCTTGCACCTTTGCATTTAATTGCATTATAATCAGAAGAGCTTGTATTTTTCAAGACTGACCTTCGAAAGCCGTATTCTCTTCATTACTTGCTCGAAGCAGCACGCATCAGCCAGAATGGCGATTCGTAATGAATGCTTTTTATTCCCCCGTGCCCCGTGTCCGTCGTATCTTTCTCTTCTTCCAGTGGTGCCATCGTTGGCTAGCTGCTACATCTCCTTTCTCAGAAAAAAAAAAAAACGAGTTTAGAGATCTGTGTAAATCTAAATATCGTGGTCATGTCCATATCGTTGTGGTGGCCTTCTATCCCTTGTTCCTCTTCGAATCAGCGGGCGCGGCTCAGACTCAACTTGGCCCTCGTTTACTGGCTCTGTAGCCTCGGAGGTCGTCTTTTGGGGGGATTGTGCCAATGGTCTTAAGTGTTCGCGTGTCCTCCGAAGCACTTGGCCTTCCGGGGTCTGAATGTTGTAGGATCTTGATGTAGAATGGCCCACTACTATTGCAGGTGACCACGTATGCTTGAGGCTGTTGTAGACGGTAGTTTGAGAACCTGTTTCAATATCTGCTAGTGCTCGAGAGGACTTGTCATAGCTAGCCTTCTGTTGTTGCCTTAATTTTGTGAGGCGTTGTGTGACGGCTTTGGGCGGTACGATAACAGGTAGGTAATGTTCAAGCCTGGCGGGCAACAGCGTTATTGTATGCCGGCTCATCAATCTTTGTACTGGTGATTGGAGGACCTCGTCTCGTGGAGTGTTGCGCCATTCAAGAAGTACATAGTAAAACTCTTCCGTGTTTGTACTTTTTCTCAGCAATTGTTTCGCCTGCCTCACGGCTCGTTCGGCCATGCCATTTGATCGGGCATGGCAAGGGCTTGAAGTTACTTGCTCGATCTTCAAGTTTTTCAGGAACTGTTTGAAGTCGTGGCTCCCAAACGGCGGGCCATTATCACTTAAAAGTTTTGAAGGGAGTTCGTGTGTTGCGAAGGCCTTCAAGCATAACTCTTTAACTTTGGAAGCTGTGGTGGTTTTCATTTCTTCGACCTCGAAGTAAAATATGTAGAAGTCCACCATGATAATGAAATCCCGTCCTTGATGAGTAAAGAAATCCACACTAACATACTGCCAAGGCAGTGCTGGCACCGCATGACTCAAGAGTGGCATCTTGACATTTCTTGGCTTGTACTTTTGACATATGCTGCAGTTGTCGTACTTGCCCTCGATGTCAGCGTTGATTCCTGGCCAAAACAGGATATCTCGAGCTCTTCTTTTCATCTTCTCCTTGCCTGCGTTTGCTGCGTGCAGCAGGTTGTTGATCTTTTGCCTAATAGCTGTAGGTGTGACTAGCTTGTTGGATTGGAGTACAAGTCCATCTTCTTCATGGATTTCCTCCCGGTATGACCAAAAAGGCCTTCCACGTTGCGGCACTTGGTCTTTCTCTTCCGGCCATGCAGTCCGCGCATACTGACGCAGCAGTTGCAGTTGTGCGTCACTTGCGGTTGCCTCTCGGATTTCTTGAAGGCGGTCTTGAGTAACTGATATGTGCTCTAGCGCGTTTACTTGGAACTTTTCCTCTTCTTCCAGTGTTTCCTTAGCGGGAAAACGTGAAAGTGCGTCTGCTAGCAGCAGTTCTTTCCCAGCTATATACTTCACTTGCAACGAGTATTTCTGGAGAGCCATCTTCATTCGTTGTAGTCTCATCGGACACTGATGCAGTGGTTTGGTGAAAATAGCTTGCAACGGCTTGTGATCCGATTCTACTGTTTCACACGGCTGTCCGAATATGTAATGGTGAAACTTGGTACATCCGCGAACAATAGCAAGTCACTCCTTCTCGATCTGCGCATACTTTGTCTGTGCTGCTGTCAGGGATCTCGACGAATACGCTAGTGGCTTTCCTTCCTGGGTGATAACGGCTCCCACGCCTTATTGACTTGCGTCGACTGAGAGTGTTATGGGCTTTCCTGGTGTGTATTATGCCAACACTGGTGCTTTTGCCAAGGCATCCCGCGGGTCTTCCAAGCTTCTTTGCTGTTGTTCTGTCCATACCCATGCGCTCTCCTTCTTTAGCAGTTCCCGCAGCGGTGCTGCTCGCTTCGAAAGTCGTGGTATGAAGTTAGAGAGGTATGTGCACTCTAAAAAAAAGGGTATCACCTTACACCCTTTTGTCCCATATAATACAGCCCAAAACTTCATTTCGACGTACAGCGCCCTATAGTCGAACAGACGGCACAAAATTTTACCAGGGGCTTGATAACGGTGCGATATAACTTATTAAATTGTTAAAGTACGTATCAAAGACCAAAGAAAGAAAACACGAAGCTTTTGCAGTACGGCCAAGAAAACTCCGATAATTTTCTTTGTAGTCAATAATACGTACATCAGCTATCTTAATAAGTTGTACCACACGGCTATCAGGCCCCTTGTAAACTTTGGGGTCGCCTGTTCGATTATGGGGCGCTGTACGTCGAATTGAAGTTTTGGGGTGTATTATATAGGACAAGGGGTGTAATAATACACCTTTTTTTCTAAGAGTGTGATCATTCCAAGGAATGTTCGAAGTTCCTTGGGATCTCTAGGTTCTTTCACTTCCAGGATGTCTTGAATCCTGTCTGGATCCACGGTGATGCCGTCTCCGGTTAGTACTTGCCCGAGATAACGAACTTCTGTCTTGCCGAATTGTCACTTTTTCGGGTTGAGTCGTAGGTTCACATTTCGACAGCGTTGGAGCAGGCGCCTAATGTTTTCATCGTGTTCTTGCTGGGTTTTACCCCAGACTAGTATATCGTCCATCACAACTGCTGTTCCGGGGAGGTCTTCCAAAATCTCGCTCATGACGCGCTGAAAAACTTCAGGAGCTGTGCTTATCCCAAAGGGCATCCTTTTGAACCTGTACCTCCCATAGGGAGTACTCATTGTGCACAACTTCGAACTCTCTTCGTCGAGTTCTATTTGCCAAAACCCAGAAGATGCGTCCAGAGCCGAAAACACTTTCGCTCCGGCAATTCGGGTGGCGATGTCATCCATTGTCGTCATTGGGTAATGTTCTCCTTTCAGAACTTTGTTCAAGTCTACTGGATCCATGCAGATGCGCACTTTGTCTTTCTTTGCGACAACTACCATGAAGCTGGACCATTCGGTCGGCTCCTTGACTTTCATGATTACCCCTTCGTTCTCCATTCTATGTAGCTCGCGCTTGACCTTCTCCTGAAGAGCCACCGGTACCTTTCTTGCTGGGCGTACAATACCTTTTGTACCAGGGTTTACTTTCATGTTGTATGTAAAGCCCCTGACTTTTCCCAGTCCAAGGAAGACATCTGCATATGGTCCCGTAGAATCGCTCAAGCTTGTAGCTGTTTCCTTTGTCGCATCGTTGGGTCCTTCTGTGACTGTAGCTATGCGTCTGATCAATCCGAGCCTCTCACTCAGCTCTCCCGCCAGTGTCACTGGTACATCATCTTTGACCACAAAGAACTCCTCTTGGGTCGTTGAGGCTCCAGTTGACACTGTCAGAGTAACTCTTCCACACGCTTTTTCTTTGTGGCCAAAGAACGATGACAGTGTAGTGTCACACTGCGGACTTTTTTACTTGAGATCAAGCTGAGTAATCTCCTTGGGATTACGGAGCAATTTGCTCCTGTGTCGAGCTTGCAGCGTAGGCGGTTTTTTTCGATCTGTATTATCTCACTCCAGCGGTCTTTGTCTATTTTGTTCACTGTTAGGTGACAGAGCAGATAGTCTTCATCGCTTTCGTCAGTGTCCTCGCGCTCAACTTGGCGGACTTTGTGGTCGCATTTTCTTCCTCTTTTTCCTTGGCGCTGCTGTCGGCTGTTAGATGACTGTGGACCTTTGCTGCAGCATTTTGCAAAATGTCCAACTTTGCCACAGCTAAGACATTGCTTTCCTGTAGCCGGGCATGCGCTCGTGCGGTGTACGAAACCACAACAGGGGCATGTCGCTTGGTCTTTTCGCAGCGTCTGTATTCCTGGTGGGTCCTCACTTCGGTCATCCTCATTTTGGTCATACTCTTTGCGGATTTCGTTGAACTGCTCCTGCGTTCGTTCCTTTGTTCGGCACATTTCGAGTACTTTCGCAAAAGTGGGATTGTCGTTGATAAGCTTTTGCTGTAGCTGTTTGTCTTTAGTCCCAAGTATTATTCGGCTTCTCAACATGCGTTGTTCGACAACACCGTACTCGCAGTTTCGCACGAGGATCCTTAGCTCGGTCAACCACTCATCGAATTTCTCTCCGTTTTTTTATCTCTCTTTCCGAAAACAAATTCGTGGTACGTTAGGTTTATAGCTGGCCGCATGTGCTGCTCAGACTTGTCCTTCAGAACTTGTATGTTCTCTCTGTCGGCATCGTTTTCGAATGTGAAGGTGCTGTAAATCCGCCTACCTTCCTCTCCGATGCAGACGAGGAGTGTTGCGGCTTGAACATTGCTTGGCTGGTCCTTCAGGTGCGTTGCCACCGCAAAGAGTTCAAATTCCGTGATCCACGTTTTCCATGTATTCCAAGGCTCGCCGGTTAGGTCTAGCTGCTTCGGCGGGGGCAACAGACAGGTCATGATGCTCGCTGTCTGCTCTCGTGGGCGTCCTTCGCTGTCCTCGGTCGCGTTGCCACTGTTGTCAGTTCTGGCTTCCTGCATAGGCTGGTCACTTACGTGCCTCGCTCACGATAAGTTTAGCCGCTGCCACCATGTACGAAACAGCACGCATCAGCCAGAATGGCGATTCGGAATGAATGCTTTTTATTCCCCCGTGCCCCGTGTCCGTCGTATCTTTCTCTTCTTCCAGTGGTGCCATCGTTGGCTAGCTGCTACAGTCTCGCGGACGCCAAGATCGAGAAGCAACCGTTGTTAAGTTCGAACAACGTACTCTGTTAGATTGAAATGTGTGAGGTTGTTGTAAAAAGCTCGTGCAATGTGGGGTAACAGTACATTTGGCTCGCCTGAATCGCCCATCCCAAACAGGAATATGGTAAAACGCTGAGAGTTTGAACTTGTAGCGGGAACGCGTTCCAAAAATCAGAAGGAACGAGGAACGAGCTTTCGTTCCTCTCTTTGAGGAACGTGTATAACACTGCCCAAACCCAACATTCCGACAGAGCGATGTCCAACGGCGACATCACCACCTTAGGTGGGATGGCCCGGGCTGCGTTCGGCAACTCTTTTCGAGCTCGAGACGGACGGTACACGAGAGGACGAGAGCCCCGAGTTTGTTCGTTGAAGACCTGGCGGACGCGGTCGGTGTGTCCTTTGGGATATCCTGACTGCCGGCGAGGCACCCGGTTTATTAGTGCATCGTCTTTGCACCGAAGCCCGGTTAGGCACCATGTGGCCCGTTTGATCTAATTCATGGCAGTAAGTCTTGAAACAGCTCTTCGTGTAGCCACGCTGAACGTGAGAGGTCTGTCAGCAAGGCGCCGACAGTATCAACTCAGTCGTCTTCTCCTAGAAGACGACCTGGACGTAGTTGCTGTTCAAGAAACAAAAGTGGAAAACCAAGAGCAAACCGACCGCATGGTGCAACCTTTCAAAACTCGCTACAATGTATGTGTATGCCACGCGGTTGGGTCATCTGGGGGCTGCGCTCTTTTTCTCCGTAATTCGTTAGGAATATTAGTAGAAGCCGTAGTTGTTTGCGATACTGGACGTTTAATTGTTTGTGACTTTTCATTTTCTGGCTACCGGTGGCGGGTAGTCTGCGTGTACGCGCCAAATCGGGAGTGTGATCGAAGAGTTTTTTTTTGAGCGCGTTGCTTCTTACCTACATTCTGAAAGCATTGTTACATTGTTGGGGGATTTTAATTGTGTATGCGCCGCAGAAAGATAGAGTACGTAATTTGCCTGTGCGGGACCAGAGCGCTCTTTTATTGAATTCTCTAGTGCAAGAGTGCGGCCTGGAAGACGTCGGCTGTTTTTTGTCTAGTTCTTTTGTTCCCCAATTCACGCATTTTCAACGAGATAGTCACGCGCGATTAGATAGAGCGTATGTTTCAGCGAGCCTGGTTCCTCTGTGTGAGAACTACGAGGTCAAGCACGTATCTTTTAGTGACCACAGTTTAGTTGCTTTCACAATTGGGAGAAAAGAAACAAAATCGCCGTTTAACTGGGAACTGTGGAAATTCAATGACAAGTTGCTGAAAGATGAAACTTTCGTTGACGGAGTAAAGAAGAGTCTTAGAAACCGGCTTGCTGTCGAGTCGAGAAGTTTTGTCGAACTATGGGAGAATTTTAAAGATGAAGTTAAAACCAACGCGGTTGAAAGATCATATATTTTACGCCGTCTAGAAAAAGAAAAGGAAAAGGAACTACAGTGTCAGCTGGATTTTCTTGTAAGCCTAGAAAGTGCGCGACCCGGTGCGTTTGTTAAAGAAATAAAATAAGTAAAAAGTAAACTAAACCTATCGATATTGAAAGATACAGAGGGGCTGCAATAAGGGCCCGCGCTGAACGATTCTTTTCATGAAAAACGCCGACTAAGCGCCCACTTGGCGACGAAAATAGGTATGCGGCGCAAAACCAAATAAACAAGATACAGTACGGGACCACGGTTACTGGGGACCGAAAGATAATCGAGCGTGCTTTCGTAGACTTTTATCGGGACCTCGTGGGACGTCGGAAACAAAGAGACAGAGGATTTGATAACCTTTTTTTAAACCTCATGCCAAAGTTAGAC